GGGGGGGGGGGGGCAGAGAAGAATGGCAAACACCAGAGAGGGACAAGTGATAGATGGAATGGCAAACACCAGAGAGGGACAAGTGATAGATGGAAAAGGCAAATGGGGGATGCGAGTGTGGGAGGGAAAGGGACAGACATTAAGGCAATGGGCACGTGGCAAAGAGAAGGGGATGCAAGGGATGTGGAGTAGGCTGCCTCCCCCTAAACTGCTTTCGGTACTGGTGGTGGGATGAATTTAAGGGGACCCTCCAATAACCAGATTCTAGACATGGAAAATGATAACAAATTTATATTTTTCCATTTAATTGGGGGGTGGGGGTCTTAAATCAGTAGTTGTCTTGGATTTGGGTAAATATGGTATATCTTTTCTTCTGATTCAGGCTAAGAAAATTAAAGCAACATTTACAAGTACTTTTATTAATCAAATCAGCTTTTAATGACCAATATATTCACATGTTCCTCAGCAAGAATGTTGTTAGGTGTAACAGAATCAATTTCTGTCAACAACTAACATACTTAGCACCTGCACTAAAGTCTATAGGGGGAAACCTATTTAAATCTATTCAGCAATAACATGGTTGGAAAAATGAACTCCTTTAGGAATTCCCAGTGGAGGAAATATTCTCATCTGAACAATACAGGAAAGAAATGCAATACTACTCATTTTAATATTTTTCCTTTAACCTGTATGTATTTACAGTGCCAATGAATGTATGCTGTTAGATTTAAAAAAGAATACAAACTCTTAAGCAAAATTAACAGTTTGTGAAAGAACCGTTTGTTTTTAAATTATTTGCTGTTTAGAAATGAATATCAGCAACCTTAACTTCATATTAGAGATTTGTATATATTTCTAAAAAAGTTGCAGCATCAGTAGAATGCTACTTGAGTTCCATCCTACTTTCCCCTTCTACAGAGGCTAACTTTTTCATTCAAATGTCAGATTTGTCTCTAACTTTTTAGACTGACATTTGAACAAAATTTATGTAATTCATTCTTAGCTATATAGTCATTAATTAATGGACATTTCCCTCCATATATGTACATCAAAAGTTTTCCACTTCTATTTATACACCACTCTTATTAAGCAAGTAGAGTATCAAAATAAAACAAACTCCCTGAAACCAAGGGTGTGCTCAACCACTGACCCACTGAGACATGATATCCAGCCAATAGGATGCCCACAGGTCAGAAAAAATTGTCAGCTGGGGAGCAGGGGAAACTATCTATGCACGGCCAGCTCCAGCTGGGTCAAGGCCACCACGATGCAGTGGAATGAGGGCTGGGCCCATTCCCAAGTGTCCAGATCAAGCCACGCTGCTCCCCAGCCCCTCTAAGCATCTAGATTTGGGTTGCTCCAACCCACTCAAGCCCCGCCCTGAGAATCCAGATCAGGGCTGAGCTGCTCCCCAGCTGCCCTCACTTGTCCAGATCGGGGCTATTCTGCCACGCTCCCCCCCATCCCCAGCATCCGGATCAGGGCTGCTCTGCAACATCCCACCCTGGCACATCCAAATCTAAGCCAAGCTGCTCCCCCTACCAATCCTGGTGCAGCTGGATCAAAGTCATGTTGCCCCTGCCCCCTCATCAGGATTAGGGTCACTATCCCATCCTCCCTCTCCCCGCTCCAATCACACATGCAGATCAGGACCAGGTTGCTCCCCACAGCTCTACAGGCAGGAGAGGCCCCTCCACCAGCCCCACATGCTCGCCAGATCCTGCCTACAGATGGAGCTGGCACTGCCCATCCAACCCACAGGGCAAAAAGGTGGGCACCACTTCCCTAAAGAATATCCAAGCCTAGCCTTGCTTGCTACACACCTTCCCAAACAGGGAAGACTTGAAGATGTCCAAATTCAGACTCTGTTGGACCTGTGGGGGGGGGAGGGAGGGGGAGTTCTACAGATGAGCAGCAACTGCTAAGATAGACCCTCCACACACTTTCACCAACCAAAGGTGCATTGATGGTATTTGCAGGAGACT